TTTTATAAGCACCTTATTGACCATAATGATATATTTTATATATAATGTGTATATATTTATACATATATGTATAAAATTGCCCAAGATCACCATTCATTTTTGAAAATAATAAATTTGTTGAGATATCATGAGGTCTTAAATGTGTTTATATCCTAGCCATTGTAGTCCTATGGTCTTTTTCTCATCTCTGGCCTTTTGGCAAACTCCTTTATTAGCTCTACTTACTAGAGAGTAAAAATGACAGGTGACAGAATATTTAACAGTGATTTAGAAAAAACATGGAATAAAGAAGCTAGTTTTCTTACCTTTTAAGAGGATGGATATCATTCCCATGATGGATATCATGGGAAATATCATTCCCCAATGATATTTGGGGGATTTGTTATTGAATAATTACATTTGTTGTTAAATAATTAAATTAATAATATTTAGCTTGTTTAGTCCTCACAGCATTTGCAAAAAATGTTATATATTTCTAAAAATCAGGGGAAAGTGTAACGATAGTACCATGATACCTTGAAGTTCCCTAAAACTTCGTAAAATCTAATGAAATTTTCTTAACAATCAGGGGCTGAATTTTTAAAGAATTTTCATCTCTATTTATGCATTGATGTTTTTGCTAAGATAACTGAACAGATTCAAGCAGTCGGGTGTTGTATAAGGACCCCCCGGCCGCGCTCCGGTGCGGATTACGCTGGGCGCAGCGGGAAGCCGCCTATTAGCGGGCGCGAGAATGGAATTAAAATTCCCGGAGCCGCGCTCTGCATTAGGAGTCGTGTGCCGGGGGATTACTAAAATACCATCCTGATACTTTATGAATGAAATGGGCAATTAGTAGTACTAATTAGTCAATTCAGAAGTAGTTCGCGGAAGAAGCCGGGAAGTCTTTGTAGAGGAGGAGGCCAGGAAGAGCCTGCGTGTTTTGCGGCCTAGGCAGAGTCAAGAGGCAAGGAGTGAAAATCAGCGTGTTAAAAACACCAGCAGGGAAGTCACTTGTGATGAGTAACATTCCCTGGAGCTCCCAGGGACCTTCCTTTTTGAGAGGTTTGGAGATGGGGAGAGGATGGCGAGGCAGCCACCAGAGCCTTGGTCGCTTGGTTTGTAACTTGGCTTCCCTAAGAGTTCCTGGCCCGTTCCTGGCATGGGAACAGAACCGTGTTTTCCTGGAAGGAAGTGGAAGTCGGGCAGGCCCCGAGCGCTCCCGGTGGCGGCTCGCAAGCACCGCGGAGAGCCGAGGATTGCCAGTTAAGGAGAACTCCTCCAGGGCTATTTAAATAAGGAATAGCACCGTTCCGGAGAGTTTACATAGTCGTCTTGTTGGAGGATCTAATTTTAAACAGTGGCACGCTATTGTGTCTGGGAGGAGACGCTTTATTATGTGATAGTTCTGTAGCATTAGGAAAAATCTAAACCGTAAGTGCGTGTGCCAAATTGGGTCTCTCCTTTCCGTGGAACTAGAGCTTTCGGGTAAGAGATTCAGCTCAAAGTGCAGGGAGCCCTTGGTCCCTGTTGCTTGTGCTGCTGGTGGGTTTATGTATGGCCTGGTCGTTGCACAGCATCCAGATCAAAATGAAGAGGTTGACTTAGCAAGTTGTGTTGTGGATGTTTCTGTTGGTCGCGGGTATCTGAGCTTGCGGTTGGACCCCTTGAATGGGAAGAGGATCCTGTTCCTCTTCTGCCGACATTATTGTGTTGAATATGTTTCCTTTCTGGTGTTATACTTTGTATATTGTGGCTTTATGTTCCCCTTCCGAAGGGAGAAGACGGTGGATTCACCTTGTCCTTTTGCGTTCTGCCGAGGGCTGCCTGTTGCCCCGCGGGCTCCTACCTGCAGCCCGGGCACAGCAAATACAGCAGCACATTGAGGCCGTCTGCGCCTCCGAGTAGCAACAACAGAACAAAAACCTTCCGATTAATTCATCCTTTTGTATCTCTAACAACCCTTCTTTAAAAAGCAGGACAAGGGGGGCAAAAAGACAAATTGGTATTAGCCGCAGCTAAAAGCATTTGTTTAGCATCTCGGTTCTCATCAATTCCAGAGTTATCTCTATATTAAATTAAAGCGCAGTGGAGGAGAAAAGTAGATTGTGTTTCCATTGCTTGTATTTTGAACTAGAAAACAGAGCTGCGTATGCACCAGGTATGCAGCACAGCTCATGGAAATAAATTACGAGTTTTAAACACGCTGATACAGATGAATAAAAGCCATTTTTAAATATTAATTAAGTTTTATTTACAAACTCCTTTTGCAAAACCAAATCAAATTGAAATGTAGAAACAGCTGAGAGAACCTTCAATTTATGGCCGCTAATAATTCTAAATGCAGAGTGTTAGCTTTGTCAGAATACAGGAACGAGGGAGCAGAAATCACGCTCTTTCCGAAAACCTCCGGCAGTTTAAGGGACAGGATAGAGGCGGGTTTTTGCCATAGCAACGAGCAGGCAGGAGAGCTCGGCACCGCGCTCCGGGTTTGGAGCTGATGGTTTGTCCATTGGACCCGCTGCGCCCGGGTTTCCCACTGCAGTGAGGACTGCGAGCGCCGCTTCCGAGCGGAAACGGGCCCCTCTCCTGCCCAAACCAGGGCTTTTTGTGAAATAAGCACCTATTCACGTTTGAAAGATATGTATGGTTAGGACTTGTCACTTTATGAAAGTGTCAGATTAGTAGGTTTTATAGGACTGTGGCTATTGCCTAAACTGATGCCTCTGATTTTCTCCTTTTGCCAATTAAAAATCTGTTTCCTCTTTTTCGCCGTAAGTGCACACAGAACCACCAGGTAGCATCTCCCCTTACATCCTCTCTGTACAAAGCTGCCTCTGCTCAAATGACGTGGTTGCCAAGTGTGGAAACGCTGTTTTGCTGTGTATCATATCCATAAGCAAACACGTTAGTAGCCTTAGAGCTAATCCGTAAGCTCCTCCACAAGATTCCTGTGTTTTAGTGGGGCATTCTTTAGCCTTTTTTCTTTTTTTCCCACCTGGTATGTTGCACTGTCAGGCCCTTAAATGCATTTTAAGGCTATCATTATTAACATTATTATTAATGTTATTATTAATATTAATTTTTATTGTTAATATTAATTTTGCTCTGTTATAAAAGAATATTCCTGAAAGGCCGTCCATGCAAGCATGGTAGTCTGGGAAGGCAGGATTATTTTTCCTTGCCTTCCTATGTCATCTGTTACGTTTTAACTTCCTTTTCCCCAGATACCATGTCTAGGAACTCGTAGGATAATGTATGTCAGTTCTCAACAGTAAGACACGGGATTATGCGTTTCCAGCAGCTTTATGAAGACTTTAATCAGGTAACTTGGAACAGGTTTTAAGACAAAACCTAACTACTCTTAGCTATTACGGTGGTTAAAATTTAGAATTAGGGTCATACATTTTGAATGTGTGGATAGCTACATACTACTTTTATTTAAACAGTGAAACAATGTACTGAAGTCCCCCTATGTAAACCCGGGAAGGAGTAAGTCTTTTCAGTAATATGTTATTCTGATATAAAAAGAACGAAGAAACCGATGCCGAATTTCCAGGAGTGCTTTAAGCAACAGGCAGATCCGCTGCTGAAGGAGCAGGTCCCGCGTTGGGCTGTTCCTCCGGCACGAGCCGCCCTGCAGCCGGGCGGATTAGGGACCTGATCTGGGTTAAACCTAATCCCACGGAAAAGCTCCAATCGCCTCCGTGTCTGGCTCCGATGCGGCCGCTGCAAGCGGGGAGCGCCGGGAGCAGGACGAGGAGGGAGCCCGCGTCCCGGGGCAGAAACCTCAACAGGGCAGTTCCTTCGGGGCATTTTCTGCCCAGAATGGTCCCAGTTGCCCGAAAGTGAATGAAGAAGGAAAAAAAATGGTGTCGCATCATTTCCAAGCTTCCTGCAGTGCAGCTGTCTGGGCCCTGATTTAAGCCACATCTTCCAGATTGCCAAGGTTCTGGATCTACACTGGGAGAGCTGAAAAGCTCACACGGCCTCTAGTTTGTACAGTAATAATCGTACGGAGGGAGTTTTGCCAACTATTTGTGCTGATTATAGGACTAAATAAAATAAATATAGAAATAAGTACAAGACCTTCCTGCCGGACAGTCCACACTTTTCATTCACACATTCAGTTCCCAGAATTAGGTAGAGCTGTGTTTCTTTTAAAAGAAAATCCCTTAAGTTACTTCTCTCTTTATGCTCCCTTTTTTTTTGTTTGCTTTCTTTTTTTTGTTTTTGTAAAAGTGTGCAAGCTTCATTATAATGCATTTCCATATGTGAGTTACATTTTCCATATGTAAACGATATTGGTGGGGGTTAGGTATGCTCAGTGCTCTCATCGTAGGGCCAAAACTGTTAATGTGATTACAATTCTAAAATCTGCTTTCATAAGTATCTTAGCTACTTTGCATTGTTTATGTTAGTTTTTGTATATCAGGGGTGTGCATGTAGAGGTAATTATAGGTAAGGAACAGGCACAGGGCATCTTTTTTGGACAGTTTTAATTATTTGGAGTTTTGCAGTAGTTCTCAAGGATCTCCAGATAAAAATATCCATTTTCCTTGTTCTCCGAACATGTAGGCTCTGTTATTATAGTTTTAACTTCTATGAAAAATGTGAAGCGGTGGAAGATGCACCCAAAGTTGAAGGCATCAACTTCAGAGGCTGGACAGTAAGGAAAGAGAGGTCCTTCTAGAAGGCACCTGACAGCACTGATTAATTTAGGGGGTTTAAGTGTCCCTTTGGAGCCCAGGGCGCCTCTGTAAATGAACCCTTTTTGTGCGGGGCTGGAGTGCAGTGCTAGGAGGGTGACCCCGTGTTTCCTTGGTGCAGCGAGGCGGTCATCAGCTATGGGTCACCCGTCCTTCTGCAGCTCCTGTCTTACTTCAAGGTGTGTTTTGTTGCAGGAAGAAGAGGTGTTTTCGCTGCAAAGCAGACAAGGAACCCGAAAGCCCTGAAGAAGCAATACTTCCCAAATTCCCTCCCGACGCGCCGAGAGCCACCGGAGCCCGGGACTCCCCTCCACCTGATCGGAGGTCAGCCAGGTCTCCTTCCCACTCGTCCCCTTAAATGCATTTTAAAAATTTCCCTCCTAAGAATATCCTGTGTTTTCTTGTCTCTGATGTACCCACGTTCATCAACACTGTGCATGTGTACTGGCAACTAGCATCTTTCCTTAATTTAGGGGGTTGCCATATAACAGAAAATGGGCCTCCGTGAGGTTACAAGGAGGACTGTTCTGCCCATGTTAGTGTCTTCTTGTGCCACCATTAAAACTTAAAGGATGTCATGTTTATTTTTAACATTATAGATGCCTTTGCAACTGTTAAACATATACTTGGGGACTTTTTCACTTAACAAAATAAGAATAGCAATTATTAAAGGAAAAAAAGGTCTTATCAGATACTCACAAACAAGTGTCAAACTTGTGCCAAATCATTCCCACACAGAGCCTATAACTTATCTGGAATATATATATATTTTTTGAAAGGGCCTTTTTCTTTTTTTTCCACAATTTGCATGGAAAGAATAATCTGAAAAATGCCAATTATGAAGTAGATTAGGTAACATACAGTTAAGACATATCTATAAAACAAAAACGAAAGAAAATTTGCTGACTGCCATTTGCTACTCACTTGGGGCAGCAAATAACTGAGGAGTTGGTGGACTGTTGCTTTTACTGGAAAGCATTCTTGTTTTTTTTGCCTTTTTTCATGCTGTCTTATGAAGAGTAGAGCATCTTGAATTTTAGATTTGTCAAGTACTATAAGAATATTTATGTATCTTAAAAAGTTATTAGGGACAGCTTTAGTCTTTTAATCTGTTAGCACATTCACTGAAAAAAGACATAGTTATTTCTTCCCCCCCAGAATACATTCACTGTTAGATTTCTGCAGCCTGGGGATGTTTATTGTTTTGGATGTATATGCAAGCGAAAGATAAATGTTTTGTAGTCAGGGGATAAGTCCTATACTTATTTCTGAATGATAAAAATAACCTGATCTTTTAATGCACAATGCAGTGCTAGCTATTTAATAACAGCTGGGACAGTCTGTAATAATCACCATCTTACATTAAATAGCAGATTTCCAGAAGTACGAGTGCTTTTTTTCAATGTCAAGTCTTCGTTTTTTAATTGAAAATTAAAAAAAAAAAAGATTTTTTTTTACAGATGGTTATTCTAGTTCTTTATCACAAAAAAAAAACAAGAAAAGGCAAAAAGAAAAGTAGGAAGATTGGTTAAAAGGAGAGAGAGAGAGACTTTCAGCACGGGAAGAGCAAGATGGAATCTGTTGAATTCATATTAGCTACAAAAATTTTCTTGGTTGAGCCATGTAAGGCCATTTTCATTATCACTGGAAATTTAGGCTTAGTATTTTATAAAACTACTGTATGTGGCTCATAACCGTAGATCTGCGATGCTAATATTTTATTGCTAGTATGTTTATAAACTGAATATATGTATAATTAAGGTAATGTGAATTCTTTCAGCAGAAATTTTAATTAAGTCTTCGTTTACATGTTTTCATATGCTCAGTAAGATGGTTTGTGTCATTACTTCATTGATACTATTGTGATAGCTAAATAGCTATTACAGGTTAAAAAAACAGGTTAAATATTTAAATTTATTTTAATGATGTGGGTTTCTTGGGACCCTTTTCTACTGATGCCACTTCAGTCTTCAGGAGTGTCCTCGTTATTTTAAGCTCCAGCATGACTTTGTGTTGGGCTCCTTTACCATCTCCTGGAATTGTTTCCAGTAAATTTGTTTTACAGCATTTGCTGTGATTAGCATTATGTGCTTAAGGGAAGGCCTTTACAAAAAAGTCTCCAATCAATAGCTCTCAGTGTTTTTAAACATGAATAAATAATTTTATCTGTAGAATATTATTTCCATAGTGAAATTGCAGTCTGAGATATGTTGTTATGCAGGTTCTTTAGAGATAGGTTATACCATCTTTCCATTTGTTTTATCTCTGTAAGGGAAAGCTATATTGTGAAGCCATAGATCCTTGAGGTATTTATTTACAATTTTATGACTACCTGAAAGATGTTTATTTTTTCAAGTATTTCATAATCAAATTTTATATACAGAGAAAGAAGTTAAAAAATCAATCATTTCTACAGTTGAATAAATTTATGTATTTAAATTGTGCTGCTTTTATGTCAGATTTTGACACGTAGGGTTTAGAATTCCTGAATAATTTGGGAAATGCTGCTGTCTGCTTCTTCACGAGGCCGCAGAGGAGGAGCACGAGGCCCGGCCCGCGCGCTGGGGACGCCTCACAGGAGGAGGCTCCCCTGTCCCAGTCTCCGTGACCGCTGTGCCAAGACAACCTTTTCTTTTCCTGTTGCATCTGGCTTTGTGATGAGTAACTGCAGTTTTCTTCCCTGAATACCCCTTATTTTCACCAGCTAAAATGCCATATTTTTTCTGTAATATATTTGCATCTTGGCCTCCTACCGCTCCTTGCTTTTGTCAAGTCACGTTGCTTTGATATTCACATTCGGATTGTTTTATTCATTGTAAAGCCTTTCAGCTAAGAGGAAGAGGCTTTCTTTTACTACTAGCAATAATATTGATTCTGTTACTTTGTTCTAAATGTTTTATTATTTATTTTTATCCCAATCATCTTATGTCTGTGGACTGGATGATCTGGCAACAAGAACGTGCTGTCATTTTGGCCTCCTGATTTTTATCTTTAGACTTTGCAGAAGCTTTAATAGTTTTGGACAAAGCACTCTTTAGTCTTTGAAAAGACTTTTTATGTATTTCCTTGGGTCCGTGGGCATTGCTAGATTGCTGGTGTTAGCCTGTAGCCAGCATCTATGCAGCTTTTAGTGTCCTCCATAAATAAAAATTGCTAAGGCCCGTGATCTCAGAAGCATTAAATGAATAGTGCTCAAAACTGAAGGCTGTCCCATGTCCCAGACATCAAGAAAGCCTGAAGAGTAAGAACTTCATGCAATATATGTTTATGGCTTTATAAAAATACAGTTTTTGAAGCAGTATGGACTACAGAACAACAAGAGTTAAGTGTTTTTCTTCCAGATAGTTTGTCTGTGGAGAAAATCGCCACAAAACAGATCCAAGAAAGACTCTACTGGTTTGGTAAATGTGTATGAAAGCCAGACTGTCTGGTATCTGTTTTTACGATATATTTTGGCCCTGCTTTGCCCTTAAAGGTGCCGATCAACTAATAGTTCATTTGAATTCCTGGTACTGCTAATAATAGGTCAATAAAAGCTAAAGAGCAGGTCATGTCCAAGAAAGCTACATTTTGGGGGTTATGAACCTCACTGAGATATTTAAGAATCTAGTAAACACTGTGTTTGATATGGGCTGCCAGTGTTCCTTCGGTGAACCTGCATATTTCCTGTGGGACCAATCTGGAGGATTTCTTACACATTTTGTGTGGCGTTTTCTGTTGGGGGCAGGTTTGAACAGCAGCCAAGACCCTCACCCTTGCTGTGATGGGTCATCACTGAGAAAGTGAGAGAAATTCCTTCTAAAATAGTTCTGTGTCGTGTGAGCTGCAATATGTTGTCTCTTTACGGCCAAGGCTTTTTGCCTTACTAGTTGAAGGTTTCAGTATGCATCAGTACCACTAAGTTTGTTTGAAGACATGACTTTGTACGCATACAGTTTTGTGCTAGGCCCATCATTATTTTTGTGTGTATACTTATTTTTGTAGAAATCTCCTTGCTTTTGCAGACATGATATAACCTTCATAATTTAGTGAAACATACTTTTTTCATCATTTCCAGTCAGCGTTATTCTACTCTCCTTATTTTTAAAGCAAATATTGTAATTATTATAGTTCATACCGCAAAGTAATTGGATAATGGCTTTGAAAGCAGTCCAAAACGGTGAAATTAAAACATTTGGCTAATCCTTTAATTCAAGTGATGTTACTGTCTCGACAGATACAACGTGGGGTGCAAGAGTCCACAGATGAGGGGTGCAGTAAGGCCAGGACCCAGCCTCCATGGCCATAGCCCATCACCCAGCTGTAAACAGGAGAATATCTAAAGCAAAGCTGCAAGGGCACGAAGAATTTTAAGAAACCTGAAGATCCCCAAAGTCACTAGAAGCAAGACCATGAGGAGCATTGAAGGTAAGTATTCCAAAGTAAAGCAGTGCTTTTCTTTTTCATTTACACAGACTCAAGATTTCATTTTGATTTAGGCTATGGTAGGAGAGAGTGTTGCAAATATTGTCTCAGGTGATACAATGTAAAAGGTTTGAAGCAATGTTACAAAAACTAATCAGAAGATCAGTGGACAGCAGAAAAAATCAGCATTCAGCAGTGCTGAAATAAACAATTTAGCTATTCATATCTTTCTATACAATAATGCACCCATACATGGACCTTTTTGCTAACTGAACAAGGAAGAAAAAAGCATTGTTGACCTAGATTTAACAAATTCCTTTGAAACAGCATATAAAGCACAGTATTTTAATGGTAAGAAAATTATAATTTTCTAAGAGTGTGATTCATATGGAGTATTATTCATAATTAGTAGTAATACATTTTGACATAATTAAACAATAGAGCTCCACTTCCCTGCACCAGAAAATACTCGGCACCATTCTTGGCCTAGATTTGATTGTAGTAACTAGGGGTGCTGGCTTGTCCTGAGAGGAAGCTAGAATTTTACAGTGAAACGTAAAATGCTCTTATTCTTACACATTTTCATAACCAAAATACAAGGTTACACCATGTCAGCAGCCAGCAGATGGAGAAAAAGAACGTCCTAGGAAGCTCAAAGAGCGCACTAGGAATCTGTGCTATAAATACCAGGCTAATTCCATAGCTTTAAGATTTCTCCAAAGCTTTTTTAAATCCCTCCAGAAAAGACTGAAGAGATTCCTAATCTGATGTGCTCCAGTTGAAGAAATATGTACGTTGTTCTATTTAAATAAAATGATAGTGATCTACAGTAGTTTGTTTGGGCATCATAACAACTCACTGTCGTTGAGTACAGCTGCTTCAAAAGAAGGTTTTTAAACAGATTGATACATCTGCATCCTCATGGGTAATTTCTTCCCTGTTGATCCTCCCAAAGTGGCTTGTATTGGGAAAGGAGAAAATGGAACTGGTGTTTATGGTATTCCCACAGAATACTTGATGTTCCCAAGTTGTTTTGAATCTGTATTTTTTGAGAGAGCTGTCCCTTTCAGTGGAGTTAACTGAAAGGCAGTCAGAGTAGCTTGTAGGATTGTAGATCAGTAGTATTTGCTGAAAATGTGGAAGGCATTGTGGTGTTTTCTCCTTGGCATTTGTAATTGTACCTACGGACTCCAACGCTGTCGTGGCCGCATTCAGAAATACTTGTTTTTCTGGCTTTCATTCTTAATACTGCAGATTCTTGCAAGCTTCCTAGTGAGGGCCTCACTCCTGTACTCAAACTTGGCCCAGTCTCGGGCATGAATCGGTCATGAAAGTTTCTAATTCTTCAGACTCTGCATTTGCACCGAAGCAAATCGTTGAGTGAATGAATGAACAGATTAATTTCTCTGTGTTGTTGGATGAAAATACATAAATGTTTGTATTAATAAAGTGTTGTTTAATGTTTTCTGTTGAAGGTAGCAGAAAGTAGTAGCTAGGGAAGCCACAAGACAGAGTGACCAGGTAATCACAGGTAACACAGGGACATGTGGAGGTCATTTGGTTGCCACCTCTGTTCTGAAGAGGCCGCCCAAGGCCTCCTCCATATGAACTTTGACTGTTTCTGAGGTTGGAGATCCCTCAGCTTCATTGGGCTTCTGCACAGGGATGTTCAGTCTTGGTGAAAATCTTCTCCTAACGTCTACGTAGAGCTTGCAACCGTGTGTGCTGCCTCTTGTCTCCAGTGTGAACATCCGAGAAGGGTCTGGCTCTGTCGTCTGTCTGGGCCTCTCCCCCTTCACCTTCCCTTGTCGAGACAGCGCGAGCCGACATCTCCTCTCCTCTCCTTCCTCAAAGGCCTCTTCACACATCCAAAATCTTTTTTTTTTTACTTTCTGGGCAGACATTTTTCTTGAGGGGGAAAAAATGTTTTTAATAATTTTAATACGTTCTCAAAAACTTCTGTGTTTCTTTGTGTTTCCTCTCTATAAGAGGAAGATGATTGGAGAGCTTAAAGAAAGCAGACATCATACACGTTCATTCCTAGCTGGGAATTTGGCAAGCTCGCGAATGAGTCAAACCTCAGGTAGAGTAGATTTTGCAGTTTTAGATACTGCTCTTTAAAATATATGTATTATTTGGAAAAAGGCAAAAGAGCAAGAAACTGCTGAGAGATTTAGAAAATAGGATGGTTAAAGAACAGTTGAAAGGATTGTGTTTATTGTAGGAAAAAGTACTGCATGATGGATGGGAGGCTCGGAAAAGACAGCGTTTTAGAAAAGGAATGGTGGCAGTTCCTCTGAGGAATTAAAAAAAAAAGAAGTTTAATTTGCACTAAAGATAATTCAAGGTAGATATTAGGAAAGATATTATCGGGCCTTTTTGGTTTTCGTAATACCTGACTGTAAATACAGATGAAAAACTGGGAATTTTTACCTACAGCTGTGATGAAATCTCTGATTGAAAGTTTTTAAAATGCATAGAGAAAAGAGCTTTCCGAGATGATCTCAGTAAATTTGACCTTTCTTCGGTGCCGGTGGGCTGCCGAGATTGCTCTCCTGAGATCCCTCATCAGATTCGCAGTTTCTGTAATTCTGCCAAACTGACTCTGGGATTAGCCTTGCTTTACTCCCTGAAAACTTTCGGTACTTGTGATAACAGATTTCAGTTCAAGGTATTTGATATTTAAAGTCTTCACCTATTTGACAGCAAGTTGCATTGCATAAAATGAACCCAAGGCCTTTTTTTTTTTTTTTTCTTACATAAAGTCCTTCGAAAGACCTTAACTGAGGTGGAGTGAAATTCGGGTTCCGTCTTTGGATGTTTGCCGTTGATTTTGGTGAATTCAGACTTTGATCAAGATGGTCTGCCTCAGTGTGACCTAAGAAATAAGTACATTAACAGGAGAAGCAGGAAGGTGTCTTACCTGCCTGTGCCCTGAGTTCAGACTTCCTAGATTTTGATTCCAAGAGCTGATGGCATCTGTCCATGCCGCAAATAGGTTTATTTATGGTGAGATTTTTTTGTGATAGGATATATTTGTGTTACTAAATGAGTATCTTTTAATCAAGCTTTTAAAAAGCTATCGTTAAGAGGGAAATAGGGAAATGCATTAGCAGTTTCCATGTACCCTTATTCTTTGCTCTTGCTTTTGTTTTCTCTGCATTGGTGAGCACGTGCAGTGCTTTTTAGCCTGTCAGGTTTGAATTCCCCCTCAGGAGAATCCACCCTTTTCTCGTGCAGCTTTGGAGTGTGTCGTTTTATTGTCCCTGCAGTAAAGTCGAGTTTTACGGAGCCTCACGTGAGCCAGGCCACGGGCACCGGGCAGGATGGAGCTGGCCACATTGCCAGGGATCATCTACCTATACCCTGCACATAACAATACTGTAAAAAGATGCAATATTCGTCCCTCGTAGTGGTTAATTGTTTAGGAGAGGATGTATGGTAGAGTCGTGAGAGATCCTTTCAGTATAAAAACACTCATTCCTGCCTTGTAGAGGAGGAAAGGGGAGGGTTTAGGACTGCAAAAAGAAAAAGGCTTTTACAGAACGTATGTTTAGTAACCTGCATATTCTCTTTTTTTTTTGAGCACAGTAAATTGGCTTTTGTTGTTCAAAGTCCAGATAACCAAAGATTTTGCCTTTTAATGCTTCTGTTAACCGTGAATGGAAAAAAAAACTGTTTAGAAGTAGCAAAGGGGTTTGCATTTCAAAGTCTCTTGCACAAAGGTTCTTTAGATTCTTGTTGAAAACGCCCAGGCCTCTATGTTAAATTGTAGGTTAGTAACCTAGAAGAGTAAGAAAATATTTCTGAGTCCTAACTTAAAAATACTTTTCTAAAATTGTGCTTCTGGAAACATATGCAGAGAAAATGTGGGGTTTTTTCTTTCCTTTTTAATTAGAACCTAGATTTTTAGCATCATTTGGATGGTGAAATAACTCCAAGGAGAGTTTCACAATCCTTGTAGTAAAATGGAGAGCAATCATAAAACCATATATTTCATTGTGCAGGAGCCAGAAAGCAGTCTCGTGCAGTTTATTGGACAATGAAATTTGTCCTTGCATTAAGGTGTCAATGTGAACAGTGCTGGCGATTATTGTGTAAAAAATCAACCTAAAAATATACAGAAAGTAACGTTTACTGCTCATTTGAGTAGATTAAATATACCTCTCCTCTCTTCAATGTAAATCTCTGAGCAGGGGGATTACGAGTGTTGCCAGAAGCTCTCAGAACAGGGGCAGGTTGCTCAAGTCCCTCCCTGGGACACTGAGACAGCAAAGAGATTTTGGACTCAGTAAGCACAAAATCTTATTTGAAGCTAAATGCATATGTGCAGTTGAGAACTTTATTGTCATTGCTGCTGGAATACAAAGTAAATTTTAATATTTTTCTAAAAAAAGTTGTACATTAGGCTATCTCTTATATTCTTATGATGCTTTATTGAAATGAAATTGGACAAAATATGAAGTGAAAACAGGTGTTTGTTTTAGAGAAGAAACGCAGCTCAAAGAAACCTCCCTGAACAAATGAGTCTAAATGTTAAGGGCTAATTAAGAATAGTTTAATATTGAAATCTTTACATACTAAGAGGACCATATTGCTTATCTTCTGTTTCAACCGATTCTTTGTTTTGCAGCTTGGAATGAACAAGATGAACATATCCACCTTAAATCTAATGCTTAATGAGGAAAAAGGTCAGGTTCTTTTATCCTGTATACTACTGCTAATTAGCATATTTAAAAGTACTTTATATTTGCATTACATATTTCATTTTTCTTACGCAGCAAAATAATTGCAAGGTTTAATAAGAGGCTGAGGGAGTATTTCAAGTTGGAAGGTATATTCCTAGAACAGGTTGACTCAGACCTGTTTAAGTAGAAGGAAGCTGTATAAGAAAAGGTCAAGTATACAAGCATTCACAGCAATTTGTTTTAAAATGATTAAACTTAAAATTAATGGGCCTCTTGTATATCAATAAATATTTGTCATATTTTTCATAGCATGAAGGCCTTAAAAGGATTAAAATAACCCACTAATTTTTTGCACATATCTTTAAACTTCTGAGTGGTTTTTTAGAAAAGGGAGGAAGATTCTTCATACTGACTCTCTCATAAATAAAACAGTGGGGCCAAATCCTCCAAATATGCATTCAATTAGTGTATCATTGAAAGGCAGGGAATAATAATCTCCTAATGCTAGCAAGAGATTCATACCTCATCCTGTACAGGTTTGCAGCACACGCGGTTTCACAGAGGCAGCCTAAGCTCTCCAGCACTTTTATTGTTGTGCCAGATAATGCTGCAGGGTTTACATTAAGGTGTCTGAATAGATTATTTTTCTTATCTTATTTTTAATGTCTTAAGAGTATTTTCATGAGGGAAATTGCTGAGTAGAGGTGCCTATTTCAGTAAACAGTGTAAAAAAAGGAAAGCATCTGGAGAAAAAATCCTCATTTCTAAAAATAGCACAGTCATGTGACTTATTACTTTGGCACAAAAGCACAATTTAGAGGCTTAATTTGCAATCCGACTCTGGTTTTGACATTCTCTTACAAAGAAACTCAGTCTGAATTTTTTAAATAATTTGAATATTTCTGCGTCCTAAACTTCAGGTGTCTAATACAACACGAGTGGATGTGGTTTACTGAGGTCTCTGCATGTGAGATTCAGAAGCATAATTTTATTTTTACCCTTTACTGCTGTATTTCAGACATTACATAGCACAGTTAATGGAGATTGGGGCTATCTTAACTGAGGGATAATTGCCATGGCTGCAGCTCAAAGCTGTTGATCATATTTCCAGTAACCTGATTTTTTTATTATTTTATTTTTTAACTATGTAAGTGAAAATGAATTGAGGTTTTCCTGTATGTTTGTTTATGAAATGTTTACAAGCTTCCTTTATAAACTGCCATGAAATTATATCTAATAATTTGAGATTTTGGAAGACAGAGACATGGACGTTGATGGAACAAGCTTGTCCTTTCCTTATGTGCTTGGAACTACATTTGAAGCAGTCTGAACCTTTATAATATTTGTAGCTGAATTTCTTACACAGTAAAAAAAAAAAAACTGAGTACGTTACTTATAGAGTTTTAAATTTACATTGGTCTGCAGCCTCCTTATCACTTTTCCTGACCCACATAATTGTCTTCAGTTGTCATTTTCTAATGCATCTGTGTATTAGGTTAGCAAGGGAGCGCCGTGCCCCACTGCAGCAAATCGGATTATTCTATTTTGATATCTGTTTTTGCCATGGCAGTTGCCCTTTGAAGGTCTGAATTGGTTCCATCACATCGGTGCAGACGTTTTTCTTTTCCTCCCACATTTTGCTATTTTCTTTTCTCGCAATACGGACTGTGTCAGGCTGCCTTTCACTGCCAGGTTTCTAGAGCTTGCTGGGCTCTTCCGGAGGGGACTCAAGTCCACCGGTCTTTTTAAAAAGAAGTCAGCATTAAAATCATTAAAGGTAACTGCAACCACAGGGAAATAGGGGAGAGGACATCCAACCTCAAAATTAACTACTCTTCCTTGGTCAAAACACTGAGATCTGGAAAAGAATTATGTCAGCAAAATAAAATAAAATGCTTGAAGAGCCTTGGATTTCTCTGTGGCAAAATAGAGATAGAGGAGATAGATAGAATTTCATGCCCAAAGAAAGCTTAAAAGGGAACAGAAAGAGGCCTTTCCAGCTGCAGACCTGACTGCGTGTATGTGTGCGAACCTGTGTGCTGTGAGGGAAAGAAAAACTGAAGAGAAGAAGCTGTTCCTAAGAGGAGTATAATTTGACTTTATTATCGAAAGTTTTATCTTTTTGAACTCATCGGATAGGCTGTCTTCTCTGCTGCGTTATACTTTACTTGCTGTTGTCTTTTAGAAAATTTTACAAAAGAGTTTGCGTAAGGTTATGGCAGTTTTATATTTGCAAACAGAAATGAGACTATTGAAAAGTAAAAGCATAAATACTGAGAAACATCCATGTCCTTGGTCACTTCTCCTAGATCAGTAGGTTGCTCAAGAGAAACTTATTTCATTCTACAAACTCCTCTTTTAGAGTGACCCAATGGGTATTTCTTCACTTCCTCTTACTACTGACTAGGTTAGTTACATTTTGCTTCATAACATACCCTAAAAAGGATTTGCTGATAACAGTGACATGAAATTCTGTCCTGCACAACAACTTGGCTGTTCTGAATTGCTTGTCTTCATTCCAAGCATTAGCCCTAATTTTAAAAATTGAAAAAAAAATAAGGATTGCTTTCTTTTGGCAATATAAAGTAAGTGCAAGCAGCATAAGCCTGTCTCACGTACACACAGTCTTGACCTTTTATTTCCCTTGCAAAGACAGGAATTTGATGTGGAGTGCTGGAAGAGCTTTATGGCCCTGCCGTGTCCTCATACAGACCCTATCAAGTGGCTGTTCTGTGTAATGAGTCCTTACAGAGCGGAGAGGCCTGGGATTGCAGAGGACCTCACTTTGTTTCCTGCCATCTTTTCTGATTGCCTGGTAACTCAGCATCTGCTTTTGTGCAGGCCCTGCCGTGCACAGCTCTATGCACACGCGTGCGTACGCAGAGGAAATCACCCCTTCCCTAAGGGAGGAAATGCTTTTTCCATCCTTTTTACTGGAAATGAAGACTTCAGTTGCTCTCAGCTCAGGGAGTCACGCAGGTGGATGTGTGAAAAGGTGGTCACATGTGGAGAAGGGTTGGGGTTTTGAGTCTTCCTTGGCTTTACACCAAGCTTGTGAAGAGGGTCACTGTCCTTGCCAGTTGAGCCGCTGCCTTGGAGAGCTCTAGTGACCCCTCACTGAGTCTCCCAAGTCAGGGATCAGAGCTCCACGGCCGGGGCTTTCTGTGCTGCAAGTGTTGGTAGGAACGGTTGCAATTTCTAATTAATTAAGAGCATTCTTATCCAACATCACCTCGCAGAAGAGATTCACATTGCGCAGTCTCAGTGACCAGCCAGAATCTATGACAATAAATCACTGCTCTTCCATCAGAATCTTTTCCCTGGCCCTCAGTGGTACAGCCAAAAACTGTTGTGTTGAGGCAGGTTCTGGGGTAGCAGTGACTGCTCTGGTCATCTCGGCTGGCAGTGTGAGGAAGCAGGGGCTGCAGGAGGTGTCCTTGCAGTGAGGAACGGTGTCTGAGCTGGCTCTGTATGGGGACTACCCGTCAAGAGCATTGCAGATATGGGCAGGGCTGGGCCAGATAGCCTTGGGGCATGAAACCGGTCACTGCTCATGAGTGAACTCATCCAAAAAGCTCTCATTTTGTAGAGTGGTTAAATTGGTGCCTTCCAATCCTGAAAAGTTCAACACCGTCAAAAGCAGTTTAAGGTAAGGCCACACAAGGCCTGCTGCAGTATCAAACAGTGCTGTCATTTGTACATTTGAAAATAGTTCCCTACCAGGGGTAGCTGGACTGCTGTAAGCTGCTTCTGCATGAAAAGCAATTTAAATGTACCATTTTAATTAAATCATTCAATATAGATCAATTTTATGATTGTTGCAGTGTGTTTTTAATTCTGCTTATTTATGAGTAAGATGAAGATGTCTTTCTCAAAACAAAGACCAGGCTGTATCATATATACAGCTATGTTTCAGTACTAGAATCCAATGCAACAAAATATTCATTAGGTACGTTTGTTTATTTAACCACTCACATAAAAATAGCACTCCATAAATTGTTCAGTACCAATCTAATTGGTGAAGAGAACACTTCTTCTCAAAATGGAAAAGCATCCCCTAAAAGTGATGGAACATGCCTTTGTTTCTCATTAGATGATATAAGAGAGCCCTAACTAACTACTTTGATAGAATTAAATAGATTAGTAATTAGCAGGTTTGAAAATACTGGTCTTTAAAAAGGTAAAAAATTGTGTTAGTTCTAAACCCCCAAGACCATGACTTAAAGGCAGTCGTATTTCCAAATGCCAGATATGAACTAGTATCAGAAAAACACAGAATTTTCTTTTAACAGTAACTGAGGAGGATGGTTTTTAACTTTGATTAAGTAGAGATTATAAGTATTTCTGTGATAAAAAGTAAAGCTTGCAATTGAGTTAGGTATTTGAAATTATAAGCAGAATGTTTTGTGAATGAGTGTTTGCAAAACTTTGTAACCAAAATCTGTGGTCAGCCCTTCAAGAAACGCTGAGTTTTGTACATCAGAGAGGCAAGGTTTTGTCAAGCCCTCTAAGCAGCTTTTCTCTGTAATGCAGAGAATTGCTAAACGCACTCGAAAGTTCATTCTTCAGAAGTTACCAAGCATATTTTCAATATTAGAATGCCAACACATGCCATACTGAGTTCCCATCCACTGCTATGGAAGCAAATGTTACCTGGATATCACTGTGATAGATGGAAGTCCAGATATGGTCATCTATCCCATGGTAGCTGTAAATCCAGACTATTGTTATCTAAGTTTATTTTTACTTTATGACAAGTTTTCTGTTTCACCACTTAACTAAAAATTGATAAAGTGAACATTAACCAATGCCAAGCCAAGCATTCAAAGAGGCTTTGAAAGTGGAGCATTTTAAAAAGTGAGGCATTAAAAATTGAAAACAAACTTTCAGCATATGAAAACTAGAGAGAACGTTTCATGGGAGGAAGGTTATTTGCTGGTGGAAGTAGGGGAATAACAATTTGGTTTGTTCTCTCATAAAATATTTTTAAACATAGTATAATGGAAGTGGAGTGCAAAACAAATCTAAAAGGCATGCCTTGGCACTTGGGAAAAAAGGAGGAATCGTTTTGGATGTGGATAGTTGTGTTACTCGTGGTGAGATAACATGAGCTGTCTGGAGTTATGATGAGATTACAGAGAAGAGGTATTTATTACAGGGGTTGATGAAAATCAGACCTTTGGCTTGAATCCAGTGTGCAGAATGCTTTGGATCTGGGCCAAAATCCAAATACTTTCTTAACCAATAAAAATACTTTGGCTGGAATACTTTGATAGGGAAGGGGCAGAGGTGCATCGGAAGGGGAGGAGGCCGATGCTGGCCTGGTGAGAAACACTCAGGGTTGGTGCTGATCCCTCCTGCTCAGTTTGCCAAACTCCCCTCACGTCCTTAAGCATTTTCATATGAACACGTAGAGCCGTGACCAGTGGCACACTGATGGGCTGTGCACTCTCCAAGAAGCTTCCATGGAGCCTCAGCCTTCTTTTTCCTGTAGTTTATTGCACACCGGCACGTTGGCACATCCTCACAGGGCCCAACTTACACGAGGGCTCTAAATTAGCAGATAGAAGGTCCAAATTGGTTACTGAGAAGAGTGTTGTTTGCAGTTTTCTGCTGAGGTGGGGTGTGTTGTTTGATGTGTTTTTGTACCTTGGAAAAAATGGATAATCACATGGCTTTTTACATCACTGAAATCCTTCTATGACTTTATGGCTGTTCAGCCTCTAGTAGCTCTTGAGAAGAAGTCCTATAAATAATAAACTTTGCCAAAAAGCATAGGACTGGAACAGCCGTTTTATTCCAAGTCACCGTACCGAATGAAAATCTTTAAGTATTTGCCACAGAAGAGGAAGTTAGGTGAATTCTTATGCTTCTTGACATACTATTTCAAGATACGTGCAGCACAGCGATGGTTTATCGGACTAGACGATGATAAGCATCATGATAGTGATAGATTGCAGCATTAGCTGATACATGGCATTGTAGAACCAGTAAAAATATAAGGTTACTTAAGTGTCTTTTGTTGCTTGCACAAAAAAAATATTAATGGCTATTATTTGCTCGTAATGGATCTGGTGTAATTGCCCTAAGTAGCAACAAGTAAGGCTGAGTCAAGAAATGAACCTTTGCTGTAGTATTTGCTTCCAGTATTTTAAATACGTCTTTTCTGAGTCTAATTTTACTATATTACAGAATATAAATTTTCATTAAAAATAGCAGGGAAATAATTATTTTAGTCTTACATGGAACCTGTAATAAAAATACCAATGCACTTTTCTGCAGTAATAATGAAACTTATGGATAAATTCCGTTTTGTATTCGATGAAACCTTGTCCGTTACCCTCCTCATCAGGATAAAACCCACCTAGGGACCAAGACCAAACTTTGCTAAGCTGAAAGCCTCCCCTCCGAGTCCAGGGCTCGAGAGTGTTGTGCGCTTGCCAGGAGCTTCCCAAATCCCATTTCTATTTGCCAGATCCCAAGATTAAGAGATACATTGTTTGTGTATGAGCGCTGGCAAAGTGTTTCTTGTGACATTAGCTCTAATCTACTTTAGTTTGTCCTCATTCACCTTCCCGCTGTCAGCAACCAGGATCTGCAGCAGGAGAGGAACAGGTAGGAGGCCTTGGAGGCTGCCTGGAGAAGCTGCAGGTGATGCCCCCAGAAAGCTCTTTTCTCTCTTACCAATAACCTTTGCTTGGCAGGTGAAGCAGCAAATAGGTCACAAATTATGCCCTGCTTCCTTAAACACGTGTCTGGCCTGCAGGTCTGAACTTGTGCAATTTCGTAGCATTTTGATTCCACCTCCTGGACAGAGATGCACAGTTTAGTAATATATTTTCTTCCATTTTCCATTTAGTAATATAAAGTATGTTCTCTTAAATAAATAGATAAATAAACACAGGGCATTCTAGTATGTTGGGAAGTGGAGTTGTTCCGAGGTGATGGCTGCAAGCAAGAGGCACTGCGTGCACTGGGCAAGGTGGGGGTTACATGTGTGTAACTCCAAAGAAATAATTGCAGTCGTTCCAACCTCCATGTCTCAATCAAGCTCTTATCTGTGCAGACCTCTAGCCGTGAATTTTCCTCATCCTCTCCTCAGTTTTGGCCAGCCAAGGGTTACATCCTATTGGAATGCTCCAGAGTATAGGAGCAGATCTCTGCAAGTTGCAGCAGGTCTTTGGGAAAGAATCATGGGGTTTATTCTGCAGATCTCTGCATCTTAGTCAAACTCATGCATCCAACCTCTTCCTTCCAGTCCACAGCACTTTGTAAATATTACATCTGCTTTTTCTTTTTCTCCCTCTCTCTTTATGTAACATTTTGAACTCTATATTTATAAGCAACACATGCAAAAAGCGTGTGCTGCGTAAGGGCACTTAAGGGAGTCGTTTTCGAGGACTGTGTTTGTGTCTCTGGAGTCTTCTCGAGTGGTCTCGAAGGAGCTGCTGCTATTGTTGCATGTAGCCCTCCTGTTGTTGATACTGTCATAGAAATGTTTTAAAATCCTCAGGCTTTCTATCTCAGAAAAGTTTTTTCTTGCAAGAATCCGCCACGTCTGTAGCAACAGTTGCTGTATTGAAAAATGTTAGCAGGGGGAATGATAAGGCAGAATTGGCATGCAGTTCCAAATAAAACATATAATAGAGTCTTTACAACAGAGTTAGAGTTTTAGGATTATTGTTTTATAGTTCTATAACCTACTTACTAGAATTGTGTATTGCACGTTTGTCTCACCTCAATAAAAAGCTTCCAATTTTGAGAGTTAATTCTTGCCTGGTTTACTTATAAAACTTCTTTTGGAGGGGATAACAGTTCATGTAATTCTGACCTTCTTTAAAGAAGACTTGCTTATACAAGAACATCATAAAAGTGTGTTACTTCTGTCATTTCAGTTGTTTCATAGCCATTCTGACATCTATGCAGAAGAAAATGAAGTTTCTGATATTAAATTTAGATTAAGAAATCCACTGATGCTTTTTCCTTTTTATTGTACAGCTTTTTTAAAACTGATTTTTGTAATCTAGTTTAAATGCAAAATTTTTTTTTCCGTTCTTACGGATATTATCAACCCTAAAAGCAACTTCCTTCACATTCATTTAGTTTTATAAACTGTTTATAAAGGACATTTACTGAGCAAGTCACTCAGTGATAATTTTGGATAGAAGCATTTGTGACGCTGTTCATTTAAAAGATGTATCCCCAGTTCATCCAAGCTATAAGTTAGCTATTTAATAACCACAGTCGCAGTCCACATATAAACACAATATGCTAGTGAGATTGTATTTACCCTAACCCTTATTTTACAGTTTTGTTGTTGGTTAAGATTTCAATTCTAAACTCTTGATGTATTTGATATCTTGATGTAAACGGATGCAGATGTTATTTCTGTTATTTGTACATTTTCATGAGTTACAGAACTGCGCTAAAAGGCATAAAAAATGGCTCATGTGTTTTCTATATCTGTGTTTTTCAGACTGTTTTATTGGAGCTGGGGAGTCATGAAAGAATCTCAAGAAGAGAACTTGGATAATGAATGGAAGATAAAAAGAAAACAAAAAGAATGTGGCATATAAAGGGTATAATACCTGGAGGTATTAGATCTGACTCATATTTATAAAAATGAGACGAGCTTTCACAAAATACAAGTTATCTTAGACAGTCATCAAGCTTGGAGCCATGCTGTTGAACTAGAAATTCTCCTTTTCCCCATTCTCCTTTCTGACAGGTAACAAAGGATTGGTGAATTACCATTTTCCCAAGTTGGAAGCACTAATTTTTATCTATATAGTCCATCCTTATGAATATATAAGGAGCTAAACATTGCATATTTAATGTGGATTGTAATGGGAAACTGACTCGTTAACAAAAATGGCCACTTTTAAGGACTTGGTTTCAAACTGAGCTGGAGCCTCTCAATGCACTTTGTACAATTTGGGGAAAGGTACTGAATGGCCTTCTTTGGGAGGCCATGATGACATGTAGTAAAAGGATATCATCTTACTGTTGATATCTTTGAAGACTCATAAACAGAAACAGAAAAATGAATGGAGGAAAGGAGTGTGACGGAGGGGACACGGATGGAGGGCCACCAGCAGTGCAAGTTCCAGTTGGGTGGCAGCGACGGGTAGACCAAAGTGGAGTGCTCTATATCAGGTAAGGTTATGTAAAGTGCTTGCTGGTTTGTGTTCACTGTAGTTTCGCCAGACTGTGTGATAAATCAGTGACTCAACTCATTTTTTGCTCAAAAACTTCAGGGGCTTCTTGTTCTGGAAGCGCTAGACCAGTTTTTCCACTGGTTTTGGTGGAGCCCACTTAAGTCAGTGAAGTTGCGCCTTTCACACGCCCATAACATCTGTTCTGCCTTTCCAAATCTAATATTGCCAAGCCTTGAAAATTTGATACCCTTGCTGTACGTTTTGCTTTAGGCATGAATAGTTCTTTATTATTATTGTCATGTGGATTTTAAAGTTGAGCAGTAGCAAATTTAACCTTACTTATTATTTTTATTATTCAAACCGTTTACAGTGAAACTAGCCAGAGAATTAAGTTATATGTTGCAGGTGAGGTGATGAGAAAGGTATGCTGTCTCCATCATACTCCCAGATGCAAAAACATTGCCTTTCCCTGGCATTAGCAAGGGATTTTCATTAGACCCTAGTTCAAATCAGTGACCAGGCATCAAAACAACTTTTAGCGGTTCGGACAGAGTTGGACTTTATTTTTCTCTCAGCAGCCAGTCTTCAGCTTAGTTCATGCAGTGTCATGTAACTTTAATCTGCCATTCCTGAAGTCTTTTCTGGGTTTATATTCCACAGGTACATTATGCTGTTGCATTTTTCATGCTTTGTTTTGGAAGGAAATTAAGTAGTGTAACTGTTTAGTAGCCCTGGAAATCATCAGTTTTGAAATGTTCTGCAGAGTTTCTGAGTTCAGCATCACTGATGTTCTCCAGTATGATTTACCTGGATGGGTTTCCCCACGTTTCAGTGTAGAAAAACAGGCACACAAGACTGTAACCTCTCACTGAAGTTGTTTTATTCATTTACTCTGTTAGCTTACTGGGGTTTTCTTTGTTCATCCTGAAACAGTAGCAAATAAATTGAAATGACTATTAAACGAGTGTTTTTAGACAAACAACTACTACAAATCAATGTTGCTGGGGAAAAAAAAAATAAAGTTACTGTTAACAAATACAGATATATCAGATTTACATCATCAATATTGAATAATTACCAATCTATTATTTGCTTAGTCTTATCTCAATATTCTGTGGTTAAAATAACCCCCTTTTCCCAATATTTTATGTATTACCGATACAGACTTCTTTAATGAGTCAAAGCATACTCCAGTTTCACACCAAACTACCATAAGAAATCAAATGCATTCCAGGATTTCTTGTTATATTCTCAATTAACAGAATCAAACAAAGTCCGTGTCAGCGATATGCATGTCAAAGATAAATCACTTTTCCCATGTACTTCACATTACAGCTATAATTCACTGGGCCTCTGCCTTAGTTGAAAATCAATGAGAAAGGAGTTGGGTTTTTTTCTATCACCCCTATATCCAGGCATCAGGAGTTGTATTTGTTACCTTTATACAGTTAGTTACCCTACTTAATTTTGCTTATAAACGAGTCCGTGTTGGTACCACGGGTTGGGCAGTCACTTCTTGGTGGTGTTTTTCTGTGTGTGGCCTTCGTTCAGGAGCACTTTTGAAATGCTCCTGTCCTCAATTCCCCCGTGCAGGCTGCTGTTTTCAGTCGCACTCAGGCCCCGGTTGCCTTTTCCATCTTGTAGTTGGTGCCCGACGTTCCTGGGCTGATCCTGTCTTCTGGAGAACTCGTCCCTTCGGACGCGGGGGGCACTGGGATAATACATATATAATATATAATAAGCTCGATTCCACAAGAGCTTAGGTTTTGCTGCCAAGCAGATCTTTGAACAACACAAAACAGCATTTTATTTAATCCCCCTGGCCGAGGGGCTTCATTTTAGGGCAGAAGTTTGGCTTTCTAGCCTGACAATCACTTTTTCCTTCATACCTGTGCCATGTATTTTTAGATTGCTGTTTTATCTTGCTTATCTTCAGACCTTTCACTGTTAGGCGTTTTCAACCCAAGTAATTCTCTCTAAAATAGCTATTCCAGGCCAGGCTTGGCAAATAAATTACTTAATTAAACTGTTAGCATAACTTGAAATGTCATTTGCAGATGTTGCTATATATATAACTTAGACTTGTCACGCAGAAGTAGTTGTTTATACATTTGGGTTGAAATATGAAAGTTGGTCATAGTTTGCTATTTTGACATCTGTTTTTTTTTTTGTACTCCAATACTCCACTTGCATCAGTTTTGTTAAAATTAGGGCTACTATTTACAGCTGCCATTAGGAACCAGGGTTTTAGCCAGTCCTCGCTAATTATTTTATGCTTTCACCAATAAACAGCTTAGATAGCTAAGTAATAAAGAGCAATCTGGGAGCTAGAGCTTTGTGACATGAGAACTTTTTTCATCTTATGAATTAGTGATTTTGCTGTAGCAGAATTTCCAGTGTCCTATTTTTGGATATGGAGATAATGATTTTCTGATGGGAGTTAGAGAAATCCATATACGCTTTATGAGAAATGCACTGGACTGGCTTCTTGGGGTGGCATTTCTCACTTCCAGCAAGAGATTGGAAATTTTAGCCAAACAAAACCAAATTGTTTACACACCTGACAGCCAGGGCCGCAGCAGGGCATTACTGTTGCCTGTGTCCCGTGTTGGATTTTCATGTTTGTTGAGACACACTCCTGTGAGGTTTTCTCCTTAAATTTCATCCTGGTGCCCACCTGGCCTCCGGGAGCTCCGTTGGGATTGCGCTGGCTGCTGCGCTCCGTAGGAGGAGGACAGGGAACGCGATCCCGGTGCTGCTAGGGATTCCTGCACGGCTCTAACGTCAATGATAAATATCCATAAATATCCATAAACTCGGCTATTTTTTTTTCTATGCATGCCAAGTTTGTTCCTCTGTAGTCGGGTCTACCTTGAAAATGGGATTTCTTTTTTTATGCTGTTTTTAAAGTATCTTCTTAGGTCTCACCTAAAAGCAGAAAATACTGTGGAACGATATGAAATCGTAGCTGTATATTTTTCACATTCTCTGTGAGAGCTATTAAAAGAGTAGGCAGAAGTCATTACGCATCAAATTGCTTTTATTTATCATTTCTCTTCCTTTCCAGTCCCAGTGGGTCTTTATTATCGTGCTTGGAGCAGGTGAAGACTTACTTGCTGACTGATGGGACATGCAAGTGTGGCCTGGAATGTCCTCTGGTTCTTCCCAAGGTACAGAAAAGCCCACTTTTGTATCCCTCATTATCCTCCCTACCCGCTCCATCAGCTGGGGGCAGTGCTGGAATGTAATCCCTGCTCACATTGGGTATGTGTGAGGTGAGATCATGGGTAGGCGCCCAACAAATTGGCATTTTCTTAAATATTTAAGTAGAAAAAGTTATTCATCAGAATAAAGACAAATGGGGAAAAGGGAGACCAGTAAAATGAGTCTCCCTCCCCATCTTATTCATGGAGGTCTGATTTGGTTCTTGATGTGTTCGAACGCTTCCCTGTCAAGTTAGAAACCTCCCATTAACAGTGTGTGTTAATGAGTGAAAACTGGAAAGAGCAGCAGCCTTGGGCAGCAGCTTCAGCAGAGCTGCCGGGGAGGCTCCCTCACAGGAAGGGAGACCCAGCAGCTGCAGTTCGGGTGGTTTGATACCATATTTTAAAATTAAACACAAAAGGTGCTCCATATATAAAAATATAACAGAGGTATATTATTTCCAATAACTGAGACGAATCACTGCAACATGCTAAAACACACAATTTTACATCTACACACACATTTTAAAATTTCCTTCTTAATGATAAAATGTTCTCACTTACCCATAACTCCCCTTTCCTCTCTTTATCACCTTTGCAGTCTTCAAACTGCAGGATGTTAGCGTTCAGCATCACTAAATGACAATTTACTTGTCTCTGTTTACTTATTATAAATACATTCAATTTTTATTTACAGTTTCAAAGCATACTATCAAGATATCTCCTGTTCAATGCAAGATGCATCAGATAGATCTGAAGAATAGAGACAAATTTAATTTTATGTAAAATTTCTGGTTCAGGTATATTCTGTCAGTTTATTGCCTATAAAATAATTATTTTAAATGCTGGAATTTTTACTCCCAGGTATTTAATTTTGATCCTGGAGCTGCTGTGAAACAGAGAACTGCTGAAGATGTTAAAGCAGATGAAGATGTCACCAAACTATGCATACATAAAAGGAAGATTATTGCTGTGGCTACACTTCATAAGAGCATGGAAGCACCACATCCTTCACTGGTTCTAACTAGTCCTGGTGGTGGAACAAGTAAGTAAAATCATGCAGAATCATAGAATTGCCTAATTTCTAAAAATTATGAAGTGCTGTACAAAAACACCCCCAAAAGTCATGTATCTATACTGCAGTAGTAAACATATTCAGGAAAAAAATAGTAATTAGAGATGTGGATAGTTAGAAAATGGGCCTAAAAACCAGGTCATCCCAGACTAAGAGCATGATTTTCTTGGAATAGATAGCAGATTGTTCCAAACAAAGGAAAAACATTCACTCTCATCTTTTGGAACTGTGGTAATATCTCTGATATTCTGTCACATGGGAAATTAGAGGAGCTGAGTAGAGTGATTATAAAGGGATTATAATACAGCTAAGGACCAGGCTAAGTGGGAAATAGTATTGCAGGCCGAATATACAGCTAGAGAAGATCTCCACTGTAATTTTTCAAAGATTATTTTTTCAGACCAACCTGGATTCGTATTTAATGATTCTTACCAACACAAAAAAGAAATGATTTGTTGATGGATGAAGCTGACAGTATTATCAAAACAAGAGAAACTCATAGGATGTCAAAAAAAAAAAAAAAAGACAGGCAGTCACTGAGAACTGGAGGGCAAGAAAGGCAGAGCAACAAACCTATTAATTGTAAGGTTATTCACCTGGGGACGAATAGCAAAAGCTATTACCTGTGAGTTATTGAGAAAGGAGACAACGTGGATATGCTGGCTGGTCCAGGATGCCTCTGAGCAGTACCAGATGGCAGCGTGGCACAGATCGGTGTGATACTAAAGCAGCACAGTACAAATGTTGTCATACAGCAGCTTCCCGAGCTCTTGTTCTCACTGGCAGCACTCAGGAAAGAGGCACTCGAGCTGGAGCAACAGGGGTTAGTGGAATAGCTAGGGAAGTGTAAAACCTGTTTCATGAAAAAAGTGATCTAAAAGGGCTCGCTTGGCTCGTTTAGCCCAGTAAAATGAGGGCTGAAAGGAGACACAATTGCTGTCAATAACCACATTAGGGGAACCAGCACCAGAAAATAGAGCTACTTTAAATAAAGGGCAGAATTTGCATTAAAAAAATGAGATTTGCATAGAAATTTTGATCGAAAACTAAGTAATTTTTATGGATTGCAAGAAAAACTTTTGAGGTAGTCTTCATAATCTGAGTAGTTAGGATAGGGGAGATAGTGAAAATACTGTTAAGCTCAGTAAGTTTATGATTATATGCTGTGACCTACATGTTCTCAGAAATGGCCCCTGATATTCTGAAAGAACTTTTGCAGCTCTATATTGTAGAAATAATAGCAGGCTAATTGCTAACCACTGGCAACATGACTTGGAAATGGAAAATTTAAAGGCGATAAAACCCAGTAGATTTCAGTTACGTAGCCAGTGCTAAGATGCATGTGCTGTTCATGGTACTGGCGTAGTGTTGCATATCAGATTGTTATTTGTGGTTTTAAAACTTTGTTTGAGTTGGTTTGGGGATGTAATTTTTGCTTCTGTACTAAACAGTACCTTTTCCCAAATTACTATGCATTTTCCATAGCATTTTTATTGTTCTTTATTAGTAGTTCTTAAATTACATTCCTTATTAAAAAGAACTAGAAAATAAAAGGGGAAAGCCAGTTAAATAAAGACAGAAGTCCAGTTTATTTGGTCTTACCTTCTGTGGACAAGCATTTTGTGCACTAAATGAAAAGGACAATTTCCTAATAAAGCTCCTC